GTTGTTTTTTAATATTATTTTTAATAATAATGATTGAACGAAATTAAAATCAGCACATCATATATCAGGTTTTTGTTTCAACTTTGTTTTTAGTAGTAATTATTTTGTATGTAAGATTGTGTCTGTGTGAACAGTATTATACATATATATATATGTATATAAATTTATTCTTATTAAATAAGAGAACGTAGTATCGGGGAAAAAAAAAGAAACAGAATACTCTTTCCCTAGTCAGTTCGTGGTTGCAATCTAAACCCCTAAATGCTAGCTACGTCACTTATACACTAATAAACCTAGACTTATTAATCAATTAATAATAATTAATAATCATATAATTATAATTATAATTATAATTAATAATAGCATATTACAATTAAAACTAGCCATCATTAATATATGTATAATAACTAATTGCTTGGCTTAAAAATTAATAGTATGTATTATGTACAACAGTTTAAGAGTTACACAATTTTTCTTATTATTTTTTTTTTCTTTTTTTCATCATCCCTTCTTCCAATTTATACTTTTTCTTCTTCTTCTCCTTCTTTTTCTTTTTAAAACTCCCCCTTTTTCTCGTTTAATTTATTTCTTTTCTTAAACTCTCGTCTTTCTCTTACAATCAAAGAGATGGAGATGTTAATAATTTGATGGTATATTAGTTTTTTTTTTTATTATGGATAATCTTTTTCTCGTATTATTGTATATATTTATTTATTTATTTAATTATATTTTCTTTTGACTTCATTTAAAGTCAAAACAAAATCGCGGTCTCCCTTTTACACACTCTTTCTTTCTCTCTATCTCACACACACACACATTTTCATTCTCTTTTTCTTTCTGTGCTAATAAATTGCATCGTAATTCGAATTAATAATCACGATTCACCGTACAATAATTATGTTCAGCGGAGAAAATTATGTTCATCTTTTTTCTTTTCTATTTTTTTTTTTCTCATTTTTTTTTTTGTTTAAATCGCACACTACTACAGGCTAATACAATTCGTACTTGATTTATTATATATATGTATATGTCTGTTTGTTTGTTTGCCTATGCATTATGTATTGTATATACATATATATATTTAACAGGTTTTTTTCATTTTCTTTTGTTTTTTTTTTTTTTAGTTTAATCGAATCATTATTAAAATTCCCAGACACATCATAGATTCACATTCGAAATAAAAATCATTCGCACGCGCGCCCACCACCTCCTCCTCCTCCTCCCCCTCCTCTTCTTCCTACAGTTCTACCGTTTTTTTTCTTTTTTCTTCATTTCAGACTATTTCCATTTTACGTTTCTTAAACGATACTCTTAATTAATATACATATTTATTTATTCATTTATTAATAATATATGTGTATATTAATTAATCGTTTATGTACAAAAAAGCGTTTGCGTGTGTGTATTTCTAACGAACCATTTTCTTTTTATCATTTTTTTTAATTTTAGGGCTAGCAGCGCCATGACATTCTTTTTTTTTCTCTTCACGAGATCGTTTCTCATTATTATTATTACTACTATTATTATTATTATTATTATTATTATTAATTATGTTACATTATTATTATAATAATTTGCATCTCGCATTTTTGGACGAGTTTGTTTTATTTAAAATTTTAAAAAAATTTGTCAAAGTGAAATTTAATAAAAGAGAAAATGAATGGGGAAAGGAATTAAAAAATGGCGAGAAAGAAAGATGAATGTAAAAAAAAAAAAAAGGAAAGAAAAGAAAAGAAAAGATTGTGTACGAATGATCAAATTGATTATTTTACACACGCACTTTTGGTTTACACTTACGAGTAGGCGTCATTTTTTTAAATCGCTTGTAACAATATTTTATATCAATAATAAACGGCTTACACAGGGGAGGTTGGTTTTTTCAATGTAAAATCAAAATGGAGTCCTTGATGCTGAACGCAATTTTGTCATTTTTAAACAAACAAAAAACTTTAACGATTTGTTGCAGTTTTGAAAACTAAATAATATATTAATGTATATTATATACTATATATATAATATATATAAG